TTATGTCTTGGCGGGTGTCCACTAGAGTCCTCATTGCAAGTAAACTCCTAAACCCTAAACCCTAAACAACAAAAGCCCTAGACCCTAAACCCTAAACACTAAACCCTAAACTCTAAACCCTAAATCCTAAGCCGCAAACCCTAAACCCTAAACCCCTAAACCCTAAACCCCTAAACCCAAAACCCTTATAATCCCTAAACCCTAAACCCTAAACCCCTAAACCCTGAATCCTAAGCCGCAAACCCTAAACCCCGATGATCCCCAAACCCTAAGCCCTAAGCCCCAAAAGCCCAGTTCCCCAGGCTACGGCATCAGCTTCAGCCTGAAGGGCGTATCGCTGCTGCTGCCGAATGGCCAGGCCTGTTCGGAGGGGGTCCTCGAAGAAAGGGGTTCCTTTAAGTGTGTAGGGTTTAAGGATTTTAGGGTTTAGGGTTTAGGGATTCCAGGATTTAGGGTTTAGGGATTTTAGGGTTTTTGGTTTGGGGATTTTAATGGGGTTTAGGGATTTTAGGGTTTAGAGTAGAAGCCGGACAGTTGGAACATCATTATCCTCATGCCCCCAAGGTAAAGCCTAGGGATCCCAGCACTACTCATCCTAAAGCCATGCTCCAATTTTCTGGGATTCACCAGGGGGGCCTTAAGGGTTTAGGGGTTTAAGGGTTTCGGGGTTCTTTAAGGGGGTTCTTCAAAAGGGGGTCCTGTCAGGGTTCCTGCAAGGGGTCCTTTGCAGTTGTTTTTTTCAAAGGATCCTTTCGCTCTTCCTTTAGGGGTCTTTTGAGGGTTTAGGGTTTAGGGTTTAGGGTTTGGGGTGATTGCTGAAGCGCCTGCCTGCTGCTTTCGGGCCTTCTTCAAACCTCTAGAAGCCCTCAAAACTAAGCCTGTATTGCGCTTGTACCCTACATCAGCCCTTAAAATGTGCGAAGTCTTCTGTCATGATGGCTGTAGGGTACAGCCCCTGTGCCCTGAACCCTACGCCTTGCAAAGTGAGTCTCAGGTGTTACCCTAAACCCTAAACCTAAACCCTAAAGTGCTCGGCTGTCCGGTCATCCTTTAATTTATGTGCGGGTCTTATCAGGATAAGGGTAGTTCTCTAAATTAGGGTCCCTTTTTGGGTCCCAAGTATGGTACGGCACCCTTCTAAAAAGGAACCCCAGAAAGGGACCCTAAGTTAGAGAGCCATCCAAAATAGGGTTTGACCCGGCCCGCCGGACTCCCCTGGTGTCAGGTGATCTTAAGTGGCATCAGCCTCGACATTCCGGCCGGATGCGACTTGGCCTCTCCGAGCCTAAGTGGAGGGCTTGGGACGTTATGGTATGCAAAGGTTTCCGGGTGGGGGGCTGGGGCAGCCCCGGGCCCCGAGCCTAGGGTTTAGGGTTTAGGGTTCAGGGTTTAGGGTTCAAGGTTAAGGGTCCGAAACCCTGTCAAACCCGAAGCCTTAAACCTCGAATTCCAGACACTCAACCTGAACACTGACACAGCGCTCTTAAGCCTCTGCACCTAGGCACTGTGGCCGTGATGGGGCCCAGCGGCTGTGGAAAGCCGCCGGATGTGGATTTCGGGTTTAGGGTTTCAGCTTTGTTTGCTTCGGGGCATGTCGGTGTTCCGTCGCCAGGATGCTTTGTTTTTCTCTCGGCAGAGGGGTGTGGGAAGATATTATATACAAATATATATATATATTCTTTTTTTTTATTGGGGGGGAGGTAGTGGCGTTCTTCTTGCAAGCTGTCAAGACATCATCCTACTGCCCGACTGTTGTCTCAGCGTCGACGGGTCGTGTTCCCAGCACCCAAGTGATTGCAGAGTCGCAGTTCGCAGTGGCAAGATGTGTGCAGAACTGCAACATGGTGAACTCCATCCTAGACCCCAAACCCTAAACCCTACACCCCAAACCCCAAACCCGAAGCCGTGAACCCTAAACCCTACACCCTAAACCCCAAACCCGAAACCCGAAACTCCAAACCCTAAAGCCGCCCCAACAAACTATGCCAACCCTACCGGCCCGAAGCTCGATTTCTTTCGGGTCAGCTACACTCCAAGCAAGCCAAGATCACGGTTAAGGTTTAGGGGTTTAGGGTTTAGGGCTTAGGGGTGACCCTAAGATTGTTTGCGCTCTCGCTGCTCTCGAAGTTTGGGGCTCTGCGATGTTCGAGGCATTTCTCAGGGATGGTTTACTCAGGTTTTCTGACTCAGCACTTAAAAGCCCTGAAGAAGGGCCCAAGCCCCCTCGCCCTGTAGAGAAAGATCCGGGGAGCACGGCTCAAGTTGATGCAATGTCAACGATAGGGATTCGAGACCATTGCGGGTTTCACAGCGTTGCAGCAGGTTGTCAGGTGACTGATCAGTGCCATGGAAGGCTTGACTAGTGCAGTAGACTCGAAGCAGATCTTCAACTCTTTCGTGTAATCGAGGAGGCGTGCCGCGTTTGGCCATGGCAGCATTCGTTTTGTCTGTGACGCTGACGTCCATCCTCCCCAGGACAGGCAAAGCAGCCCTGTCCATTTCTTCCGGCTACGAAACCTTCCTGACCCAAATCCGGAATCGCATCGTGTGCGCAGAAGACGATGTTTTCGACGAGGCGGCTCAGCATGCATGGGCGCAGCCCTGCGACTCCATGAAGGATGGGCCTTTCTGCAGAGGCCTGCCGGAAATGGGGGAAACTGCTAGGCACCGGCCCTTTACGTTAGACAGCATCGTGCCGCAACACCTGTTCGGTGATCCCCGGGCGACGATGGAGCTGGCTGCATCCAACGTTGTGAAAAGCGCCGTGGATGCAGACACATCTGCCAACAAGCAGGCGACCCTGGTCCTGAACAAGTTCTTGGAAGACTTCTCGAAGGTCAAGGAGGTTTACGTCAAGTCTGTGGGTGTGGAGGGGCGGCTGGATTTCTCACGACTGCCCATGGGAGGCAGCTTAGGCTTCTCTCGAAGTTTCTCACTGGGCCTGCCGAGTGGTGTTTCTGCCACTTGGACAGGGTCCTGGCAGGTGATCCCTGCTGAGCAGCCGCCCCCAGATACGCTCGCCCCTAAAAGACGGGCCCGGAAGTTCCATCCACGAGCCGTGCTGCGGCTAAACGGCGCCCTGGGCAGCATTCGATTCTCCCGGCCGGTGGTGGTTCGAAGCCTACAGGTCCAGGGAGACTCGCGCTTGTGGGTCCGTGGCCGGCAGTCGGGTGGCGCCTTAGTAGCTGAGTGATTACACTTTACACTTTTCGGGAGAATATGATCCCTTCTAAAAGTTCAGTCAGTCAGCAACTACGATTGATGATATAAACCCAGCATTACCCAGGCATATCCCATAATTCCCATAGTTTAGGGTCCTTGAGGTAATGCAGGATTTATATCATCAACCGTTACCCTCCTACCTTACTTATCCCTAAACCCTAAACCCTAAATCCTAAGCCCTAACCCCTAAACCCCAAAGGGTTCTCAGCAACGAAGGCGAGGTTTGGCGACATGCCTACCAGCAAAGCGAGCTGCAGGTTTGTGGCACTGGAGACCTCGTCCTGGGCCGCTGGGAGGGAGATGGGCAGCTCTACTACGCGAGGATCCCCCTGAACTCTTCAGTGATACTGTAAGGGGCCTTAATAATTACCTATAATATCTTGGGGGTTCCTTATTCTGATTATAATCATAATATACCCCCAAAACCCTATTCTAATTATGAAGGCCCCTATACTTGCAGTGTTTCTCTCTTTTTCCTTCTTGAGTTCCCGCTATTTGCCCTAAACCCTGGGCCCTAAACCCAAAACCCCCTAACAGATCAAAAAACTAGCCTAAATAAGCGTCTCTACTTTCTGAAACCGGCGAGGATCCTCATGCCTCATGAGGCCGGGGCCACCTTGTGGTGGATTGACAGAGACCCTTCCCATCGCCTCGTGGCGTGGGAGCATCTGACGACCCCGGCCGGGAGGCCCTGCCTGAGCGAAGCCTCGGGCCTCCGGAGGGCCACTGCTTGGAGAGATCTGGCCCGGCGTAGCAAGGCCGTGGATGAGATCTCCTTCATGGTCCCCGATAGAGGTAGCAGCGGCTGGCTGCTGGGTGAGCTGCATGTGGCAACCATCCGATGGCGCCCCGAAGTTGATGAGGAGACTGTCCGGCTCCCCTCCGACACCCTGTCTAGGGTGGTGCAGGTCTTGCCGGGGCCTTTCGCCACCATCGAGGATGTGTCCCATGCTGCCTTGTACTATAACGCCGATGATATGCTGGAGCAAGGTCTCCGCCTCAACAGCTTCGCCAGGCGACAGGAGCTCTTGGAGCAAGGCCCCCGGAACCCTAAACCCTAAACCCTAAACCCTCCTAAACCCTAAACCGGCAAGGCCCCCGGAAGTCACAGAAGGGCGATTCCTACGTCCAGCTGAATGCCTTCCGCTCCGTGGAGGGGCTCTCCGGCCCTCTCAGCAGTACCCTTTTTTTTGTTTGCCCTAGGGTTTAGGGTTTAGGGTTTTTGGTTCGGGGTTTCGAAGAAGGGTATCCGTTATCTTCTTTGTCATCATTATGGTTTCTATTTTTAGGTCCTTTTGTTTTTATAGTTATTATTGTGCTTATTCCTACTCTTCCTGAGGTCCTGGTATGAACATGATTAACGTAAGTATTCTTGTTCTGAAACCCTAAACCCTAAACCCTCAACCCCTAAACCCTAAACCCTAAACCATGACGGGGAGCTGTGGGCGAACCGAGGCTCAAACAGATGCTCCGGGCGTTGATGCCTGGCCTCAGCCGCCCCTTCGGCCGCTCTCGAACAGGGTTTAGGGTTTTTGGGATTGGGGTTTAGGGGTTTAGGGTTTTGGGGGTTTCATGGTTTTAGGATTTTGGGGGTTTTAGGGTTTTAGGGGTTTAGGGTTTACGGTTTAGGGCTTAAGATCGTGCCTTCGACACCTGGTTGACATCATTTAGGGTTTAGGGTCTAGGGTTTAAGAGCGCAACTTAGACACCTAGTTGATAAACGTACGTCCTTGGATAAGGAGTGTCACAAGGTCGAGGCGCGTAAGGAAAGGGTTTGTTTAATCAGGGGACTGCATTATACAGTAGATCCTTAAGCAGCGAACCCTGAGCCGTAAAGCGGGGCCTATAAAAACCGGGCCTATCGTAAATTAGATTCTTAACAAGTAGGCCCTAAACCATTATTCGGAGTTGTAGTAAAGTATAACATTCACACGTAAACTAAAGACCCCCAAACCTTAAACTCTAAACCCTAAAGCATAACCCTAGACTGCCCCTCAACCGGAACAGGGGCTTCGAAGAAGAGACCAGGCCCCTACCTCCAACTGCCGGCGCCGCTCACCCACGCCCGGGTGCTAGCGGACCTGGTATCCGTGGCCGCTGCTAGAAAGTTTTTTTTTTGTTGTTTTATTTTCAGGTTTGTGGTTTAGCAACTAGCCGAGAAGGGAAGGTAGGTAGATAGAAAGCTCTTCAGTGCTGTTTTCGTTTCTTGCTGGTTGACCATGGCTGCTGGTTGATCCTTCCAAGCTTTCAAAATTTGATGTTGCTTACCTCTGCCGATAGTCTGACGAAGCCTCTCTATTTTATGTATTTTCGATCTTCAAAAACAGCCCATTTCACAAATCCCCGACGCAAATTCCTAAACCCCGAAGCCCCTCAAGCCCTAGACCCCCAAACCCCTAAACCCGTACTCGAAACCCTTAGTCGACCCTAAACCCTAAACCCCCAGCTCTAAACCCTTTGACTCGAAAGCCAGCCAGGATCACCTTGTGACCACGCTGGACGTCAGCCACCTGCAGCCAGAAGACCAGGAGAAAGTCGTGAAGCGGTACGGGCACTTCGAGGCGGTTTGCTCGGGGTTTAGGGGTTTAGGGTTTTTGGGGGTTTTAGG